ATATATATATATATATATATATATATATATATATATATATATGGAGCTGCTGAACTTCTATTCCTTGGGAATTCTGTATGATTGAAATAATATTATTTAACCTGAAATAGAGGGGTGGTTGAATAGTAGAGGGGAAAAAAAAAAGGAATCACCTGGGCACCTGGCTGGTTCAGTCTGTAGAACATGTGACTCTTGATCTCAGGGTCACAAGTTCAAGCTCCACGTTGGGCATGGAGCCTACTTTAAAAAATTAAATAAAGTAAAAAGAAATCATTTTCTGACACACTGAACAACATGGGTGAATCTCAAAAACAGACACAAAAAATTCATTCCATGATGAGTTTTTAATTTTTATCTATCTACAGAGAGAGAAATCAGATCAGCGGTTGCCTATGAGTGGCGCAGTCCCTGGAAGGGGATGAGAGGAACTTTCTGGGGTGATGGTATGTTCTGCGTCTTGATCGTGCTGGTGGTTACCTCTGTTAGTGCTCAGAGAACTGTACACCTATAAAATGGGTGCATTTTACTGTATGCAAATTATACCTAAACCAAAAAAAAGGAGTATTGTGAACAGCCTCACTATGGTGCCCAAGCAATGCACCACATGGGTCATATCCGACCCAAGGGTGACCAGTTTCCGTCCTCTGTGACAGTCACTATAGACTTTTCTCACAAATTTTTATTTTATTTTATTTATTTATTTGAGAGAGAGAATGAGCTGGGCGAGGCAGAGGGAGTGGGAGAAGCAGACTTCCTGCTGAGCAAGGAGCCCGATGCAGGAATTGTCCCAGGACCCTGAGGTCATGCCCTGAGCTGAAGGCAGATGCTTGACTGAGTCACAAGGGCGCCCCTACATTTTGTTTGAAGTAAGCTTTATGGGGCGCCTGGGTGGCTCAGTGGGTTAAAGCCTCTGCCTTCAGCTCAGGTCATGATCCCAGGGTCCCGGGATCAAGCCCCACGTCGGGCTCTCTGCTCAGCAGGGAGCCTGCTTCCTCCTCTCTCTCTGCCTGCTTCTCTGCCTACTTGTGATCTCTGTCTGTCAAATAAATAAATAAAATCTTAAAAAAAAAAAATAAAGTAAGCTTTATGTTCAGTGTGGGGCTTGAACTCATGACCCCGAGATCAAGAATCACATGCTCTCCCTAAGCCAGCGAAGCGCTCTTCTCATATGATTTTTTAATTGAGATCTTAGTCACATACCATAAATTGCACCCTTTTAAAATGTTCAATTTTGTGTTTTTTAGTTTATCGTAAAGTTGTGCACCATCACCATGTCTGATTTCAGAATACTTTCCTGCCCCAAAGAGTAACCCCAGCCCTGTTGCCCTTGCACTGCTGAGTGTCCTTGTCACCTGTTCAGGACCTGTGAGCTCTTATTAACAGATAAGAAGTTGAAGGTGCAAAAATACATGGCCCGGTAATATAAAATTGAGAACATTGTGTCCGTTCATTTATTTTTCCTTCATCAATTGAGAAAAGAGGGGTGTCGAGGCAGAGAGAGACCCTGAGAATGAATGGGGCATGGCTCTGGGCTTGTAGTACTCAAGGTTGGAAAATGGGGTCCAGGCCTGTGCCTTTCTCGAGACAGGCAACTGGGAGAAAACAAGCTAAGTGGCTTAGGTAGACAGAGAAAGGAATGGAGAGATCGTGACAGGTCTCCTGGAGGAGTGGCTTTGGGACCGGGCCAATTATCTCTCATATCTCTGTTGTTTACAGTTTGCAAAGAATATTTACAAACATTATGTCCTTGGATTATCGGGCCCCAGGGAGACAGGTGGCTTCATGCCCATTTTACAGAGATGAGGGCTAAGGCCCAGAGAGGTGAAGACTCCCATAAAGAAGGTTCTATAAAGAAGTGATGATTAAATCTGGACTTGACGGAAGCCTTTTCTATTCCAAAACAGGATAGGAGAGAGGGATGCCTGGTGGGGGCATTTGCAGGAGCTGAGACCGTGGAGGTGGAGCAGGGTGGGTGCTGGGGGGGGGTGACACATGTCAGTGGCCTGTGCCCCCCAAGCAGCAGGACCAGCAAGTGGACCAGGCTTCTGTGAGGTGAGCAGTGACTTGATGGTGGTAATCACTTGATCACTTGGGTAATTTGCCATGGGGAGTCATTATGGGACTTGTCTCCCTTGGGCTGGGTAAAGGGAGCTGCCTGCCCAGTGGCAATGGAGGACTGCTGATGGCTGACAGCAGGTCCTGGCATTCTTTGGAATTAAGTTTTTCTGGAGTTGAAAACAGCCCCTAGCCCTGGCCGAGGGCTCTACTGGTGCCTAGGGTCCAGGCCTGGCTCTCACGTTCTCATCCAGAACAAGGTCCTGGGCGGATAGAGCATGGCAGAGAACAGGCCCGCCTGGGGTAGCAGGCAAGGGTTCGAGGGATAGGGCATTCATATGGGGTGGTTGAACACTCACCCCGTGGTCACTGAGGCCGGGGGGGGGGGTGTAAAACCTCTACCCAACAGAGCCAGTAGGAAATAGAGACAGCATTGGGAATGGCCCAGGTGTCTCACGGTGTGCCAACCTCTGGTCTTAGATGCCACCAGCTGACCAGTGGGCACCTTCTCATCTACCCACTGCCTGCAGGGAAAGGGCTAGCTAGCTTCCTCTCTGCCCTCAGGGGAACTGATATCTTTCTGTGGGATTAGACGAGGTGATAGAACTCAAACAAATGACAAATACAGATTAAATTATAAAAAGTAATTGTGAAGGGGCCCCTGGGCGGGCTCAGGTTGGTTAAGCCTCTGCCTTCGGCTCAGGTCATGATCTCAGGGTCCTGGGATAGAGCCCTGCATCAGGCTTTCTTCTCAGTGGGAAGCCTGCTTCCCCCCGCCCTCCCCTGCCTACTTGTGATCTCTTGCTTTGTCAAATAAACAAATAAAAATCTTAAAAAAAAAAGTAATTGTGAAGAAACAATTAGGAACAAGGAAGGGAGGGAAGGAGGTTGAGAGAAAGAGAGAGAGAACCTGTTTATGTGGGTTAAGTAGGGACATCTTCTCTGAGGAGACCACCTTACCTTGCTAAACAGATACCAGAACAAAGTGAAGGTACCAGCTATGTGAATGTGGGTGGGGGAGGTGAGATGAAGAGTGTTCCAGGCATTGGGAACAATATGTGAAAGGGCCCTGTGGTGGAAAGGACTTGGACATACTTATGAGGTGGAAAGGAGACAGACAGCTGAACTTCGGCAAGCAAGGCAGATGAGTGGTGACTGGTAAGTGAGGAGGGTGGACAGGGCCTGTCTCACAGGCCAAAGTAGGTCTTTTGGACATTGCAGTGGCAAAGCCCTGGGAGGCTTTGGGGCAGGGGGATGCCATGACCAGAAGTCCGTTTTCTTTGTGCTCTTCTGTGCAGGACTCCCACCTGAATTTCCAAGCAGCAGGAACCAGCATACCTGGTTTGTGGCCTAGCTCTGCCTTTCACTAAGTGACCTGGAAGTTTCCAGTTTGCTCTTTGTCTACAGGGAACAGCACGATCTATCCTGAGGGATGGTGCAAGGGTGAAAGGAGATTTCATGCGTGTGCGCCCACACCCACACCTATACCCGCCAGGCACAAGGCTGACTCTCAAATGGTAAGTTTTAAATCTTCCTCCACTGTAAAGATTTCTTCAGATCTCCACTCTTCCTCTTCCTCAGGTGTCATGAAGTAGAGGGAGGCTGGAATCAACAAGGAACCTGATTTCTGAGTTTTAAAATATTCAAATAAATTGATAGTACATGTCCCAGTTGGGGAAATGACATATTATGGAATATTCTATTTAAATTAATTCATAGGTTTAATGCAACTTCATGCAAAAACCTCAGTTTTGCTTTAGAACTAAAAATATCAGTAACAACAACTGACATTTCCTGAGCATTTACTATGTGTCTAACATTGAGCTTGTCAGGCAGGTGTTACTTTTATCCTCATTTAATATATCCCCTAGACCTTGGTGGGATAAGTAACTTGCCAAGGTCATGGGGCTGGATGGTTCTATCTTCAAGGAATTCTTAGTTCTTCTAGGTTAACTAGGATATGTATGGACACAGAAGCCGGTGTGTTTACCAAGTGATATCTTGAATAACAGAAAACTCTGTGAATGGCAAGATAGCCCTGTTAGATGTTAGAACCTATGCTAAAGAACCAATCTTTAGATCCATATAGTATCTGCTCAAACTGAGGTCTGTGAAAAGAAATGAAGAAACAGATTGACCAGAATCAAAAGCCTACTGTAAAAATAGATTTTACTAAACAAAGGGTAGGGAAAATTTATTTAATAAATGATGATGCACAAGCAATAAAAACTGGTTGGTACTGGTGGTGAGTTAAGCCCATATTTTATTCCACACAGGAAAATAAACTTGGGATGGATAGTTATCAAAGAATTAAATATAAAATGAAATTTTAGAAGATTAGCAGAAAACAGACCATCAGATGGGTGGAAGAAAGCTCATTTTGTCAACATTCAAGCAATAAAATCACAAAGGACTAGAATGACAGATTGAACATTAAAGTAAAACAAAAAAAGAAAAACAGACTGGGAAATATTTACATCATTGATGACACAGGAATAATATTGATAATCTAAAAAATGCTTATTCGACGTTGGAGGAACTTTTAAGTCTCCAGCAGATGAATGGATATGAACAACCAGACAATAAATGATGAAAAAACATTCATTTTTAAAGTCATCTAAGAAAGGCTAAAGGAACCTTGAACTACTGACATACTAGTAAAGTAGGAGGGGACAAAAGAGATGGTGCCCACTGCTTAGTGATGTCTATTATGCTCCTTACACTCATGAGTGGGAGGCAACAGAGTGAGCCGGGTGGTGCTCTGGGAAGGTCCTATGGCACTGTGGAGCAAGACCCCTCTGCCTTCGACCTGGCAACTGCCAGGAATTTGTCCTGAGTGCAGAATTAAAGGACATATTAGCAAACAGTATTTGGGTTCTTTGGGTAAAGAACCCAAATATACCACATTGGGAGACTGAGTAAATGTAGGAGGATCCCTGCACACCTTCAGAATGAATCATGTGAATAGAAGAAAATGTGAAGTGATAGTAGCAAACACAAGAGAAAAATGCGTGGCTGGTTGCAACTTTGTAAAGACATGTATATAGGTGGAAGGTTTTATGGGTTTCCTAGTATTATGGATACTTTATTTGTACATTTTTCTTGCTCTAGTTGTCATGTTGTCTTTTAAGTGATGGTTAAAAAAAAAAAAATCAAATTCAGCCAGCAGCGTGACTTTGGGCAAGTTTGTCCGTAAAGTGGGGTAATATTTCTCAGCGCGTTTGGCACCTCAGATCTCGTTCTTGCGGTGGGGCCTCTCCTTCCTTAAAGGAAAGAGTCATCAGCGCCCAGTCGGAGACCTCCTCCCCGGCCGGGGAGTCGGGGCACTCTTGGGTCTCGGCTGCAGGAGGACTCCCTTCCGGAGGCAACTTCCCATAGCAAGAGGGGAGGAGGAGGGTGTCCCACCGGCATCTGCACTCGCAAGGGAAGGGGCGAGCTGGGAGAACGTAACCGCTGGTGGGCACCTTGGGTTGCGAGGAATCCTTGCAGCCACCTTTGAACTTCCGTTCCGGCTCCGGGCCCCCGGTTCTCCTGCCCGAATTCGGCAGCCGTCTTATGCCCCCTCGCTAGGGCCCCGAGCGGCAGGAAAACTCGGATTTACAGGGCGCCTCCTGCGGTGGCCTGAAGACATCCAGTGCGCCTGGGGGCCCGAGGCTGACTTCGCAGACACCGGGCACTTGGGTGCCCTTCCAGGTCTCGAAGGACGCATCAGATCCCCGACGTGGGCCAGGTGGGTGGACGCAGCCCTCTCTGGCTGCAACACGCGCCCATCTGGGCTCAGCCGCCGCTCGGTCCGTATCTCCGCTCATGCCATCTTGCCCGAGGCGGTCACGTGCGGACGACAGCGGCGCGCTTCGCCCCGGCCCCGGCGCCGGGACCGACCGGTGGACGCCAGTGGGTTCCGTGCGGCTCCGTGCACACCCCGAGGTGAGGCGCGAGGGCCCTTCCCTCGTGAGTCGGGTAAGGGACAGGGCGGGCGTTGGGTCCCTGGAGCGCGTCTCCCTCTCGGGACCCGCCCGCACCCGGCCGCCTTGCCGTCGGGGGCCGGAGGCGCCGCCGCTTGCCCTGCGCCGCGGCCTCGGGGATGTCCGCGGCAAGTTGTGGCTGGGGCACGAGGGGCGGGGGTGGCTGGCGGGCCGAGCACCCCCTCCCCGACCCCTCACTGCCCGAACACCTCGCATTCCGCGCGGCCCCAGCGGGTCTGGAAGACTTGCGGGCCGGCTCGGGGAGGCCCGGCCCGGGGGCTCCCGGTCCGGGGGCGCCACGCGCGCGGCGCGAGGGGCGCGGGCTGCCGGGAGGAGCGCGGATGGGGGGGGGGCGCGGGCGCATGCGCCCTGCACCCGTGCCATATTGGAATGAGTCGGAGCGCGGAGCGCCGCCGCCGCCGCCGCCTCCGCCGGAGCGCGGGTGGAGGGGGGCGGGGAGAGCTGCCGGCCGCCCCGCTCCGCCGAGCCCAGCAGGAAGGAGGGCGCGAGCGGGCGAGCGCGGGTGGCGCGAGCGGAAAAAGCGCCCGCGCGGGGAAGCGAAAAGAAGGAAAGAAAGAAAGAAAACGAGCGCGAGAAGGGGAAAAGCCAGCGATCGAGCGAGGGCGCGCGCGAAAACTCCCGGCAGGTAAAAAAGCGGGGCCGCCAGCTGGGCCTTCCCGCGCGGCGGCCTGAAGGGGCGGCGGCGGCGCTGGGGCGGGGGACCGCGCGGCGCCCCCCTGGAGGGGGCCGCGCAACTTTGCCAACGAAAAACCGCCGGAGCCGGCGGGCGGCGGGCGCGCGGGCTGAGGCGCCAACGGGCGGCGGCGGCACGTTGGGGGCGGGGGCGGGGCGGGTGGGGGGGCAGCGCGGCGCCCGCGCGCGGCCTCGCGCGCCCCCGCGGCCCCGCGCGCCGGCCGGGCGGGCTGCAGGAGCGCGCCTGGGCGCCTCGCCGCGGCGGCTAGCGGCGGCTGCGGCGGCCCGCGGCCCCCGGCGGGCGGCGCAATGCGCGGCCGCCTCGGGGGCGTGAAAGGAAAGTGGCCGGGCGGCGGTACCGGCGGGCGCCCAAGTTCCCCGGCGCGCTGGGCCCGGCGCGTCCCGCGCTCCCGCCCGCCGAGCCCCCGCGGACCCGCCCCCCGGGCTCGCTCCGGGGCCGGGGCGCGAACCCGCAGCGGGGGTCGGGGGGGCGCGCTGCCCGCGCGGCGGTCGGAACTTCGGAGGGCCGAGGTGGCCGCTGCGCTGTTGGAGAGCGTCTAGCGGCCGCCGCAACCGGTTGCTTCGGGCCAGCGTGGTGGAGTGCGCCGGGCCTCCCCGGAGCCGCGCGCGAGCGGGTAGTGGGCTCGCCCGGCACCCGCCGGCCGACCCCGGCCGTACCCGCTCGCTCCGGGCCCCGACTTGCGCTCGGGAGGGCCGCGACCGTTTCGATTTCTGTTCAAGTCTCGTTTTAAACCGTGAAGACGAGACGGTGGAGAGGCGAGCAGAGAGTCCTGTGAAGCAAGGCCTGCTCTGGTGGGGAGCAGAAACGCCTTGTGAGAACAGAAATAAATTCCCGCGGAAAGGATGTATGTTAAGTTTTTAGCGAGATGTCAGCTGTTCACTGGGATCGGAAACTGAGCCGCAAGGCACAGGTCACCTGCAAGTCTTGTTCTGTGCGGAGAGTTGGGTGGGACACCTCGGGCAGAGGCAAGATTTCTATTTAGTGGGGGTGATTCCCGGCGGGTCACCCAAAGCCTTGCTGGTGAATGGCCCCTAGCGATGTTTTCCTGAGTCCTACTTAGTGACATAGTTTTGAGAACCAAGTAACCATCAAAGAGATTTGAAAGGAAATAAGATGGATTTTGCCAATCCCTGCATATACCTTTTCCTCCTGAACCACATTTTAAAGATGTCACACTTGATTGCATCGCAAGAAAAATGCCTGCCTGAAAATGTAATTGATCATTTGCCAACTGTCTAGAAAGGGGGAAGATGAGTGTGTCTTTGTGTGTGCACTCTGGGGCCTGTTGGCCTGGTATTTTGAGGAGCGTGTTGAATCCTCCTCGGCCATGGGTAGAGCCAGAGTTCATATTTGTTTATAAGGTCACAAAAGTAACGGCCCGGTGGAAACGGGAGTGGCTCAAGCTCAGGACAGTGCTGTTCTACTGTTGTCGTTGACTGGCTGCCTTATCTCCGTATGGTTCTTACCCTAAAGATTTGGTTTTCCTTAGTTGCAAAATCAGAGAATGAATAGCTCATCTTTCTGCATGCTTTCAGATGTCAATTTGGCAACTTTTTAAAATGAGAGATTAAAAAAATCACAGTCTGTATTTTGACAGGTTCTACATAAAAGTGCTCACAATAAATACATTTTAATTAAAATACATTTGGAAAAAAAATCTTAGTTGCTACATCTAGTGTTATTTTGTGTCTCTTGTTTGAACAAAGACATTTACAAATGTATTTCAATGTGTTTTAAAAATTATGTATGTATTTTTAATTGAGGTCTAATTTACAGTAAGAACTTACATGACCTATGTGCCCTAATAACCACACTCAGATCAAGACGCACAGCGCTTTCAGCCTCCCAAAGGGCTCCCTTTACATTGCTCTCATTCAGCAGGCACCTCTCCGCTCCCCAAGGTGACCACTTCTGGCACCACTGGTGAATTTTTTTTACATAACAGGGCCCTTTTAAGGGTGAGGGGCAATATTAAGCTGAAGGACAACAGGTGTGTAAACCTGGAGTTATGGTCATTTTTGCCATGACTCTAAATGCTTTTATAACAGTTTTTACACTTTTAACTACCTGGAATTGTGAACTTCTTAGCCAGAAGGCTACTTGTCAGCTGAGGCAAGGCTTTGCAGATTTGGATCCATGGTTCTTGGGCATCCTTGTGGTCACAGGCCCAGTACCAACGTGTTACTTCCCATTTTTGGAATACTGGTGTATTTCCAGACAGCAGGTTGGGAGGATGGATCATGAACTTTCCCAACAAGTCAGTGTTTAAGGTGTTAGTAGATGAATCAGTTCCTTAAAGCCTAGAATTTGCTGAGAAAATTGAATGAAAATTGATTTTTTAAAGTTCAGTGAATTAAAGAATGTGGGCATAAAGCTTTAACAACCTTTTAAATGACAGCAATTAACTTGATTTATATATGCAGGATATTTGCCTGGTTTATCAAGTCATTAAAACTCTAGTGGTGAAAGCAAAAACAAAAGGTAACTAAAAATTATGCCAGGTGTGGTTAATTTTTTTTTTTTTAAATTTCAACATGCTTAGGATACCTTTTTATATTGGCCCTCTAGGAAGTTGGGTTTTTTATATTCTCCACTGAAGCAAGTACTTCCAACAATTTGCTTATTCTTCCCAAATACCTTTTAATGTAGTCCTATACATTTTCTTGTTTCTGCTCCTAAAGGGGAGGAGTTAGAAGTTGTCAGTGAATTCTTGGTAATTCTTCGCAATGGCCTGTTTTTGTTTTTTTTTACTGCAAGGACACCTGTGTGATGCAGAGTTGGGAACAGTGTTAAGGCCTGTGGTAGAGATTTATGGGGGCATAGTCCTCAAAGGTCAAAGATTTTCTTTTGTGAAATGGTTTCTGCTGAATAATTCTGTTTTCTTTGATCAAGTCAGTCAGTTGATTAGCCAACAGCTAAGCTGGATTTGGTTATTCTACTCCCAAGATTCACAGCATCATTAGCTAAGATAGTAATCCATCACTTAGTTAAAATTGATGTACTGGTTTTGTGTGTGTGTGTGCATGCGTGCGCATCTTTTTAGATTTCTTAACTTTTGCATTGTCAGATATTTCACTTAAAATTTATTAAATTTTGAGAGATGCAACTAAAGATGCAACATGAGAAAATGCATATAAAAGGGCATTTCCTCTTTTGATATTTGTTTCTTTAAAAATTTTGATTTTTCTCTTTAAAATTGCTTTTCCTGTCCATAACCTTGCTGGTTCTGTAGGGTATTTTTGCTTTCACGATGGTAACTAGGCTGGGCTTGGCTACAGAGTGAGGGTGTGGATGCAGACATCATTTGACTCTGAAGTCTATAGAACAGGTGACTGTCTAAACTTCATTGACCTTTCCATTAAAACTTCATGTTATGTTCATATTAAATAAATGAATACAATCCAGAAAGCAGACCATTATGTAGGCAGGTATTTTGAATGTCAAAATTTTTATATTAAAGATTTTCTATCTTATGATTTCCTATAACTTTGTAATTGCAGGGTAGTTTTCTTTTAGTAGATAGTATTTGTTATCTAACTGGGATGTTTTGTAATTAAAAAATATTTCTCCTTATACATAGTTGTTAAATTGGATAAAAGTCTCTAGGGATTTTGGTTACTGGGGGAGATTTTGAACCATTAGGCTTTAGGGAGCAGGATTTTGATATGACTGTTTCTTCAAGTGGTACTAGCCCCACTGGAAAATGATTTAAGATAAAAAGGATGTGGTCAGGTTCTTGCAAGTTCATATTTAAATTTTACAAAAGTGGGAGAGAGGATAAGAACAAAGACAAGTTAGTAGTAGAAAAACTATGACTTCACTGCAGAAGTTTTAACAAGTTTGAATGTAAACCTTTGCCTTTAACTCAGAGGCACCTGAAGATTTGTATCTGATTGATTTCTAGTCTCTTATCCAAGAGGATGTTTTTAACTTTATTCAGCTCGCTTAATTTTTAGATGACCACTCAAGGACCTAATTAAAAAACAAAAGATGTAGCCTGTATGTTGTGCTACAAGATAATATGTTTCGAACTTTGTGGTTTCATAGTTGGTAACTTCGGAGTCAAGCATTTGGCTGTGCCGGGAGAGGCTACAAGGCGGCATTTCTTATGGTGTCCGGTGCTGCCTGCAGGTTCCGTTTTGACATTTCTCCTTAATTGAGATGGGTTACTTGCTACACTGATTGATTTGGGGTGGATAAGGTAGTTGAGATTACGTGTTTGGTCTGGGACATTTGGAGAAGGTCTTCGATGAGCGAGGGAAGGGAGTTGGTCGCAGTGGCAAGTGCAGGACAGTCACGTATTTGGAATGACAACAAGAGATGGGCGGAGAAATTGAGCTGTTATTAAAATAACTCGAGTTTTTCCTGCTGACATTCAATTTAGTGTTAACCAACAAGTATTTTGATTTGAATTCCAAATTATTAATTATTTTTACCCTGAATAGTTTAAAAAATATATTTGAGGGGGCTGCTGTGTAATATCTGCTCGGTGGTAAGACTTCCTATGAGTTGCTGGTAGTTTTTCATTCTTTTCACATTAATTTGCTCCCCAGATTAGAGTGCTTTCTGGTCTCAGAGTTTTTGCTAGTGTTCTTTCTTATGGGTCATTTTTGGTAAAACGTACTTTCTCCATGTTAAAAATAATACATAGTAATTTGGGATCATAATTTTAAGATACCATTTTAGCTCATTTTTACTTGTGTCAAAATAAATAACATTCTTGGAATGAGATGGTGACAACACAGAATCACTTAGCATGTCACCTGTCTAGAACATAGTGAACAGTGGGGAATTATACGTAACATAAAATTTCACATTTTATTTTATTTATTTTTTTAAAAATTTTATTTATTTGAGAGAGAAAGAGAGATAGCTAGAGGTAGAGTATAAGCAGGGGAGAGGGGGAGAAGCAGGCTCCCTACTGAGCAGGG